TCTGCACGATCGGGAAATTTGAGTTGTTTTCAACATCGTGAACGTATTCGGATTTGGGCACCAGACTCTGATTCGACTTGTCTGTAGTTTAGGACTATTTCATGATATGATATGACTATTTCAAGTGGTACTAATTTTTTACAATTCAGTACGTACAGTCGGCTCAGGCTTATGGGTAATTTTACAACTACCTTTGGCAACAACTAGCAGTTGAATCTGAACAGACAAGTAGGGCGAAAATTTCTCCATATGTGGTAATAATATAGATAGAATCTCTTGCTCTCTCTGTGTCATTCACAGGTAATTAATATTCCTGATGAATGTGTCTTCAGATTCGATTGAGTTTGAACGAAATTCAGCTGAACATCAACTATTTGCGTTTCGATTTTGAATCTCTGTGAAATTTGGCTCATCAATAAGTGAGGACAAATCTGAACTAATTGTTTTAGCGTGTGTCGTTTGAGCGATATCGATGACGCTACTCTAATGTTTGCTTGCTGCATGTATATTTTTGGTGTTATTCTTTATGCTCCCATTGATAGTCTTATTGCTTTGTTCACTTTTCCACACGAGTCGCACCCACCAGGAGCTGACTGACATCGTTAAAACTTTCTTTTCAACAATCACATTCCATTATCACGTTGAATTGTCAAGGTAAACAAGGTAATTCATGTTTTATGAGATTGCAACTTGTCGTATTGTGTGTGGTGGACACAGCCAAACGACAAATGCACTTGCACGTTAGTATTGGTGAATGGGGGTTGAAACGATAAAACTGGAACATTTCATTCCACTTGTGGTTATGCTTGGCTTATTGCAATTCTCATTAAGCGATGAATGCGATGGCTCGAGGCTATTCCTATCGTCCTCGCACACAATCAACCTTTTTGCATTGCTTGTGTTTTCAAGTGGATTATCCATGTAATGTGTGCTGCTGCTGCTGATGTTCATGGAGAAATGTGTGTTCTTGCATGTGTACGTTCGTTCAACTTCATATTTCGTCCAGCGTGCAGTTTTTTTGCGATCAGTAGTGCTCTCATTGATGATATTCATCGAGAGCAAGCTTTTTTTAAATTTAATCGATTATCCATAATCCTCACACATATTCATAAGGTCGTAATTTCAAGTTCAGATGCAGTATTATTCCTTATTTGGAATCGTTCTTGTGTTTGAAACGCCGCATTTCATGGGCTGTTTGTTGGTCACTTGTATGAGAGCTCATTGAGCGTAGTGATATTGAAATCACACATTATTACTCAGTATTGACATTCGTAAATGGTAGTGACTTTTGTGATATGATACAACAAATGTGGAAAAATTCAATCGTTCGTTGTGGAGTAGTAATTCGATTTATTTAATGGAGATTATTTGTATGCATCATTGACGTAATGTCGACTGAAATTCAGTTAACTAATGATGTTGTTTGTATAGCTAAAAAGAGGACATCAACGAGAGACTTTGAGATTTTAAATTATGAGAATTTAAAATTGAGGAGAGAAGTATTCAAAAAGATTTAGCTAAATTGAATTATTCATGGAAATTCATGTGCTGAGGGAAATTACGGATTGTCTTTATTGGATTACTGAGTATGTTAAGAAAGGAATAAGAAGAAGTAGAAGGTGAACTTGAAGGACAGTTGTGTAGATTGTTTTTGATATGAATGATGACATTGCTAAATGCCTCAGAAAAGTTCTGCTCTTGCATCAGATCTCTTTTTCTCCTTCGAATCAGCTTATTGCAATCTATTTTTATTTTTCACAGCTGATTTAGCCATGAAAAGAATCACCTATTTGACGTCGTCGTCTCTTATCGATCATATAGTTTGAGAGTTAAGCAAACTCCAAAAATTATCTTTTCCCAGTGATTGCCATCATTAGTATATCTTTTTGCAGAATGAACACCCTTTGCTCATCATTCTTATTATAAATCTAAATCATTCTGGTGTGATTCACCCTCGCAGATAAATTGCCTCGAGCATTATGCAGCTGTCTGTCTGTCAACATTAGTCAAGTTCCACACTGATTGTATCGCATCAAAAAATTGCACGTTATTCATTGGGAACGAGCCGAGGGTAGTGTCAGTAGAGCGATTCGATGAACATGACTAGTCGGTCCTTTCTTATAGTTCGTAGGTGTTATTATTATGATTATTGATGTTGTCATTGATACTTATTGCATTCATGAATCGGAAACATTTCTAATTTTTCATTGTATCGCTCGCATTCCAGAAATGCATCGAGCATTGCTAGACAATACGGAAATTTGTTTTATGAGTGTGATTGATATCTATTTGATGTTTCGCAATTATTCATAGCGCCGTTCTTCATTTGTGTATTATGCG